TGTAATCTAATCTGGGTTGTTAAACCAAGAGTGGATGGATTATTAATATGGTTAAGAAAGTTACTAATATGATGTTGAAGTTGTATATTCCATAAACTATGAATATTGTAGAGTTGATAGTTAAGCATTGTACTGTTGGGGGTTGATCAGGAAAGGTGAGATTTGTGTTTGAATATTACACATATTATATACTATAAGTGTACCATAAGGTAAAGTTTTATTTTTTTTTAGAATTTTATTTTATTTTTAGTAACTTTGGTGACAGTATATAAAAACAAGATAAAAAAGAATTTAAAACTAAAATTTAATAATAAACCTGTCACCAAAGTTGTCACTAATGACGATGCAAGCACATATTGTTCGTCACTCGAATGATGGAGCAAATATTAATATATCTCTGATGATGCAAGTGCGAATTGTTTGTCACTTGAATAATGACACAAATGCAAAATGCTCATCATACCTGAGACTATAATTGCCTAATCTAAGTCATTTTTGTTTATATAAACAAAAAACAACTCAATGAATATTGTCTAAAGACTAACTCATATAGCGTATGACTGGTAGGCCTAGAATTATAGATGGCAGTAAAATTACTTTTAATAAAAAGTTTTTATTGAAATCATTGAAATTATTTGATTGTGTAATTAGTTTTCAAAACTAAATATTAATTTAAATTATATTAAAAATTAGCTAAAATAAACTAAATCAAATAAAATAATTATTGGATATAAAAATACTAAAAATGTTAAAAAATTAAAAAAATTAAATATGAATTTCATTCTATCTATATCTGGAATTATGGATATTCATAGCATACGTGACAACAGGAAGCCCAATACTCTAGTCTCTCTGTTCATTATCTTTTATCCATGTTGAGAGAGCATTTTTTAGAATTTTATTAGAACTTTCAACCGATCCTTGTGATTGGGGGTGGTGGGGCCTCCTATTAATTATATGGATATTCTTCTATAAACTAACAAGTTCTGAAATTATTTTTGCAGTGAACTCCCTACCATTGTTACTTTGTAAAATATAAGGTGGCCCAAAGACAGTAAAAATTGAAAATAAAAATCCAGCAACCTCAGATGCTTCTTTAGTGTGTAATAGGCATGTCCAAGAAAACCTCATGAAATAATCACAAAGATGCGCAATATACCAATATTCCTTATCAGGGTACTTTTCAAAAGAAACAAAATCAACTTGTACATGGTGTAAAAATTTCTTTGAAATAATAGTTTTTTCAACAATAGGTGTAAGAAATTTTTTCTTGTACAATATTGAGTGTATCGAGTGATATACAGCTCTACAAATGATCTTAGGATATAAGCATATTGATTACTTATCTCTTAATTGGTAGAGATTTGCAGGCAAATTTGCCTGCATAATTACTATAAATATATCTCTGATCTACTTTTTTAATTA